AACGTCCTAAATTATTAAGTCAGAGTTCACTTGGTCACCTCATCTTCCTGAAACTTGCTATGAAGACAGATAGCTGGAGTCACATGATTCAGCTGCAGAGGATGCTCCAGTCCTCTGGATGGTTTCCATAAATAATTTCTAGGTAGTTTACTCATTGCAGCTGATTAACAGACAAGTTTAAAAAGACAAAAAGAAGAAACATGGAAGTTGCTTGCTCTTGTTTTTGTACAGCTCTCTCAATAATCCAGCTCAAATAGAGACAGCCTTTTCCTAGTAGGAGCTGGCTGACACCATCTCCTTCAGCAACGCTAACATAATATCGCTTAACTGCTTTACTAAAAATCCAGTGATTCAAGGAGTTACCAAAACAGTGCTCAGCTGTTACACAAAAACAAATAACAAAAAAAAAAAAAAAAAAAAAAAAAAAAGAAAAGAGAGAGAGAGAGACTTTACTAAAAACATACAGCAGTGGAGTGCTCCTTCTTTTCATGAAGCCTTGCACTTCGACGTTCCTCAGAGTACGCGTGCTGCTTTAAGGCATTGAAGACCTGATTTGACAGCTTTAAGTCCATCCCGATTCCATCCCCAACTTGGAACTCAGGTGCAAACTACAAGTAGAAATAACAGAAATTTAAGCATTGTTACTAGCAGACACCAAAAGTTGGCACAAGCAGAAATTTCTCATTCTGATTTGCAAAAACCTAGGGTACATTAGGATCTACGTGAAACCCACTTTGTGTAATGTTGTGTTATATCACTACGTTAAAAAACATAGAGCTCTAAACTCAGAACTCGAAGTTCTGCCTAAATTGGTATGAGATTACCTAACATCCTGTAAAAATAGCACTTGCAGCATTTCCTTATTTGCAGAAGTTGTACCAGTTATGTTACAGAAAACAGAAGGTACGTACTATGGATAAACAGACTGAAAAGTTCCGAGTCAAACGACTGACTGAAAATAAGTTACTTGGCTCATCAGGCAGAATTAATTAAAAAAAAAAAAATAGGTTACACGATAGCTATGCTTTCCAAAAATAGCCTTGGTGTTTCACTTGCCTGTGTACCAAACTTACTGATAGTTTTGTTTTGCCAAAACAGTTCTCTGCAAATTCTTGAATCACAGTCATTAACAGACTATTGTTAAACAAAAACCATGCGCAACTCAAACTGCCAGTTTGAATAACTGATCTAGACACCGTATTACTTTCATCTGATGTCAGAGAAAAAAAAAAATCAGCACCAGGTGCAGTAGCACAGATGTACAAACATTAGTTCCTTGGCTGAATTACAGCACTCCAGTTTTACACACAGTGTTAAGTTTTCACTTACATTTTCCATGCGAGCAGTGTTCTTTCTTCCACAAACCACTTCATCGTGTTTAGTAGTAATATCTTTTCCTTTTCCTGTGAAGCCCTTTCTTGGTGTAGTAGTAGGTTTATCTGCCAGCAGTGAGAAACATAAATCTAACTTTACATCTAAACAAACGTAACTAATGGTCATAAAGGTTCCACAATGCTCACAAAAGTAACAGAACTTTACTTATTAAACAGAATAAAATACTTCAATTGTATGACCTTAATGCAGTCGTCTCTTATCCTAAACATGCCAGCTTCTTTTGCTATATTATGACTTACTTCTCTGCCTTCTCTGGGGTGCCAGACACACTTCTGGCGGATTAAAGACAGGAATATTCAGTGTCACGTACAGGCAGCCCTAGCCAAACGTAGATGACAGATATGCATATCCCACCATACTTGCGCTGTACAATACTTTACCAGATTCAGCCACTGAAGCCAATATACTGGCAGACAGAAGCCTGAAGTTACCCACCCAGCTTCCTGCATAACACCTCCCAACCAGGTGACCTCATTTCACATACAACTGGTATGTCTCCTTACATTCAAAAAACCTAATTTAATTATGTCACATTCTTAGGTCTACTAACCAAAGAAGTCGTATTGTTTAAAACTGCCACATACCTGCTCTATAAGGATCATGACGAGTATCCTGCCAATCAACCTCATCCTCTGAGCTGTCGCTGTCATAGGGATGTACCTTCCGATAATTTTCAAAGGATATGGAGACTTGAGAAACAAAGCAAACAAACATGTCTGTGATTACCGGGGATTTGCTACTTCCTCGCAGCTCTGTCAACTTAAGCAGAGTGCCAAGAACATCTCTAAAGCAAAAATATTTCTTCTGATGAGGGTACCTTTGCTATCTCCATTGATCTTCTTCTCTTCACGCCGAAGCTGTGCATCATATTCCCTGTCAAATTCCATCTGCAGCATCTGAGCTAGCATTAGGTCACTAGAAGTGTCGACATTTTCTCCCGTAATAAATGGTCCTTCAGCAACACTATGTAAAATGAAAATAGAAATTGAAAAAATTAAACACAGTAACCTAAACAGAAACACCTCTTTATACCATTTCATCACTCTACGAAAGACCTCATGCAGAGTTGCACAGAAGCTAATGGATCTCCACTGTCTGCCCCCCATCTCCAAGCCAACACTAAATATTAACAGAGCACGAGTTTACTTCTCTTTGCCACTCCTTTACAATGCAAGTATTACTTAAACTTTTACTTGTTTACCGTTCTGTAAGAAGCATTGGGCTTTATCTTTAAGACGCTTATACATGTGTATGTGTGTATATATATATTTATAAATAAATGCATTAAAAAAAATTAAAAAAACAACAAAACCAAAAAACAACAGTGTTGCTTTGCTTCAGAGAAAAGACCGCAGGCAAAACCTGTATGACTTTAGAACTAGTAAACTCTTGGCTTATGTTTAGAGCTTTGAAGTATTAGGAGGATACAGGCGATACGCCTGACAGTTCTCGAAGTAACATCGTATGCTGTTAACAAGAACCTCTAAAAAGGAACTAAAAAAAAAACATTTCTGACAACATTTCTCAAAACGTAAGTTACAGACTGGCTTAAGGCACCCAAAACAATGTGAAGAAAGTATCAAGAAAGAAGGAAAGGTCACAGAGAAGAGAACCTAATGAAGAGTTTTAACTGGGGAAGCCATCTTCACTGAAAAAGACCTGAAGAACCAGAGTTAGGAGGTAACAGGCAAAGCATTTACTACATCACTACACCTTAAGCACATTGTAAGACACACAAGAGATAGAAGGTGGCCTCACAATGACGGAGATCACTAATCCAGGATTTAAACTTACGCAACCACTTCAGGAAACGCAGCATTTTCTTCTTCTACCTGCAACTCTTTCGCCAGCTGTTCACTCATTACATCAGCAAGGGAACACGATATCGATGTCGTGTTGGGGGCTCCCCACGGACACTGCGAATCACCATTTTGTTCAAGTCAGCAAGAAATGCAGCGGCAATGTAACAACCAGGACAACGAGCTATCACTGGCTCTAAAGTAAGCTCAGGTAGTCTTATGAGAGCTTGTCTTCCACGGATATTAAGTATGGTGAGCCAAGTTACAGAAAATACCTCAAGGAGTAGTTTCACAAACTCGGCAGGGAGAACTGTGACTGGAAGGATGTTGATGGTCACTTACTGGGGGCGGCCCGGGGAAGCGGGGGCCGGCACGCTGTGACTCACCGCCTCCACTACCGGGCTCACCGGTTAGACAGGCTCAATTTATGACTCTGGAGAAGTGGAGTTCATGCAGACATTCCTGGAGAAACAGAATTATCACAGATAAAATGACCAGAGCACAGGAGGTTCCCCATAAGCAGTAGAAATCACTTGTGAAAAGAAATGGGCACATTATAGCTGCTGAAAGACTAATAACAGAATGAGCTTCTTCAACGCATCTTTGAGCTCCTGGTTCCTCATGCTGTAAATGAGGGGGTTCACTGCTGGAGGAACCACCGAGTAGAGAAATGACAAAACCAGATCCAGGTATGGGGAGGAGATGGAGAGGGGCTTCATATAAGAAATCATGCCAGTGCTGATAAAAACAGACAAAACAATCAGATGAGGGAGGCATGTGGAAAAGGCTTTGTGCTGTCCCTGCTCAGAGGGGATCCTCAGCACAGCCCTGAAGATCTGCACATAGGACACGACAATGAAACCAAAACACCCAAAAGCCAAAGAAACACTAACCCCAAGAAGCCCAACTTCCCTGAGGTAGGACTGTGAGCAGGAGAGCTTGAGGATCTGGGGTATTTCACAGAAGAAGTGGTCCAGGGCACTGCCTTGGCAGAGAGGAATTGAAAATGTATTGACAGTGTGCAAGGCCCCGATAGAGTCATCCCTGGGGCACGGCTGCACAGGCACTGATTGAGAAAGCCGGTTCTGGTAGTTCTTGATTTAAAAAAGACATTAACCGTGACTTAATATTCCTACGTCTTTTTATTCAGTTTTTAATTTTCAGAAATAAGCCTTTTGTATTAGTCTCTTAATTACCACCTGATTAGTCCTCAACTCCACAACCTCTTGTATAGACTCACAGAACCATTAAGGTTGGAAAAGACCTCTAGGACCATGAAGTCCAACTGTCAGACCAACACCACCATGGCTGCTAAACCATGTCCTGAAGTGACACATCTATGTGTTTTTTGAACACCTCCAGGGATGGGGACTCCACCACATCCCTGGGCAGCCTGTTCCAATGCCTGACCACTCTTTCAGTAAATAATTTTTTCCTAATATCCACTCTAAACCTCCCCGATGCAACTTGAGGCCATTGCCTCTTGTCCTATCGCTAGTTACCTGGGAGAAGAGACCAACACCTGCCTCACTACAACCTCCTTTCAGGTAGTTGTAGAGATCAGTAAGGTCCCCCCTCAGCCTCCTCTTCTCCAGACTGAAGAACCCCAGCTCCCTCAGCCACTCCTCGTAAGACTTGTTCTCCAGACCCCTCACCAGCCTCGCTGCCCTTCTCTGGACACGCTCCAGCCCCTCAGTGTCCTTCTTGTGGTGAGGGGCCCAAAACTCAACTCAGTACTCAAGGTGCGGCCATATGAATGGATCAAGCTTTGAACTGAATTGTATTAAGAAGAAATGCTGTGTAAAATGACATGTAAATAAAATAATTTGCCACACATTCACATCTCCTAATAAAAATAGTTAAAAAAATAGAGCAGAAACTTCCCTTCATATTACTCAAAATAATTCCAAAGCTGTACAGCAATTACTTAATCTGTGATTCAAGTTAGTCATGATAAACAACATTGGCATGAATTGCTATCTTCATTCTTAACCCCTCACTGTAACTGACTTAGAGGAATTCAAACCTGCCTCTGCATTTCGCTGTAGGAAGAGGTATCATCTTTGCCCGAGTCTTCCACTTGCGGTAAGAATGACTGCAAGAAACACAGAGGGAGGCATCGCTGTAATGTTTTGCGTGAGAATGACACTCAGTTAAAATAAAAAGCCAAAAGTGTTCTTATCACACTCTCACACTGGTCTTTGTAGATACCTGTAAACTCTTCTTATGCTTTTTTCAAGCTTTACAGGCTGATTTTGTGGTGCAATGTAAATTATACTTCTGTCTGCAGAACACACATTTGACACGCTTACAGAGACACATGTGGAGATGCTGTGTTAGTCCCCCCCCCCCCCGCCCCCCCTGCCGCATCCGTTACGGCGGGATGTCAGCCGTCTCTGTAGGCCTGGACGGACCAGACCTTCCAGTGCTGGACACCCGGTATCGGTTTTGGGCCACCTCCTGACCAACCAGATAGAGCTCTGTCTGGTGGATCAAAATGCTTGAGTTTGTCGTGGCGCAGCGGAGACCTGTCGTGCTCTGCCTGCTGACTTTGTCTTTTGAGGCTAAATGTTGCAGGTGGGGCTGATTTTGTGGGCTGGATGTGGCCTCTGGTCTAACAGTCAGTGCCCCCCTCGCCCCCCAGTTTAGGCCACGCTCAGCTCCTTGTTTATGCTGCTTTGCCCAGGGCGTACGTGCAGAGGGAGAGCCCCGTACTGTGCACTGCCCGAGCAAAGTCCGGGTGGGGACTGCAGCGACGGGGCCTTGCTAACACCAGTTCTGGGAAGCACCAGGCTTACCCAGGCTGCAATAAAAGTAATCGTGACTAGGTAGGGCATGTCTGTCACTGCTTCCCTACCTCCCTGGGGTACTCATAGCTTACACGTCACCGATGAATCACAGTATTGCAGAATCAGAGAAGGGGTTGGGCAGGAAGGGACCTTAAGAGGCCATCTAGCCCAGCCCCCCTGCACTGAGCAGGGGCATCTCCAACCAGACCAGGCTGCTCAAGCCCTGTCCAACCTGGCCTTGAGTGTCTCCAGGGATGGGGCATCGACCACCTCTCTGGGCAGCCTGTGCCAGCGTTTCACCACCCTCACTGTAAGGAATTTCTTCCTTATATCCAGTCTAAATCTGCCCTCCCTTAGTTTAAAGCCATTACCCTTGGTCCTAACGCAACAGGCCCTGCTAAGCAGCCTGTCCCCACCTTTCCGATCAGCCCCCATTCAGTGCGGAAAGGCCGCAGTAAAGTGTCCCTGGAGCCTTCTCCAGGCTGAACAGCCCCGACTCCCTGAGCCGGTCCTCACAGGAGCGGTGTTCCAGCCCTGGGATCAGTTTTGTGGCCTCCTCTGGCCCCGCTCCAGCCGGTCCATGTCTCTCCTGTGCTGAGGGCTCCAGAGCTGGGCGGGGGGCTCCCGGCGGGCTCTCACCGGAGGGGAGCGGAGGAGCAGGGTCACCGCCCT